GGACTGGTCTCGACAAGCAGCATTGATCCGAAAATGGGGTGAGTGGGCTGTTCAGCACGGTCAACAGCAATTGGCTATTCGATGCTTTTCCTGTACAGCATCTGAGTCGTCAGAGCCTTGGACATCACCATCTGCTCGAGCTGCAACTTTCACCAATATTCATAGCCAAAGTATTCCCGAATTATTAAGCCCTCCTTTGTCGCCTCCTAGCCATAGAGGTCCACAGCGCAGTATTGCGAAGACATCGGCATTGAAACTAATCACTGCGTTCGGAGATAAACAACAGAAGTCAAAGTTCTTTGGTGTTGATAATGATAAGACACCAATTGGTCCTGGCCCAACACCAATCGAGGAATCTGCTATTTCTCCAGGTGGTGATACAGCACATACTGCTTTCTTGAGACCAGGTAATCGTAGCGCATATCATACACCAGCCTCTGCACGAACGGCAACACCTGGTGGTTTCTCACGTCGACGTCTTCCATCCATTGGTGAAACACCTAACGATGTCATACCTCGTGTCAGGTTAGAGCCATTGAATCCGTCAACGCCTGGTGATTCTGGTTCAGACCGGGAGCGAGTTGGCCAATACGCTCGTGATGCTGAGGCGGAACCATTACAACTAAGCTCGGCAACATATACTCCCATTACAAAGAACAGACCTACGACACCCATGACCCAAAAGAAGATTGCCAATCCATTGCCATCACCATCGCCAGATACATTTACTTTAAAGAAGCAAGACGATCGTACGAGGAATGGATCACGACATCGTAAGCCAGATGGACTACAGATCCAGTGGCCACCGATGGAATCCATAATCACAGGCGATTACATGTCATCTCCAGAACCAACTGTGTCATCCCGCCACGATCATCGGACTAACCGCTCAATTGGCGACCCTTTGAGCTCTGCTGCTCTATCATCAGCCGCTTCCGTTTCGGCCTCAAGTAATGCCAGAAGCCCTTTAAACAGCGAAAGAAGTTTTAGAACAACAAGCCCAGTGTTGCACGGCAGAAGCATTGACCAATACATCAATAGCTTGGATACAGCCACGTATCATAAGAAACAACAAGGGAGTCGGCAAGCTAGCCGAGATCGAAGCGGAAGAGCTCGCAGCAGTAGCCGAAGGCCAAAGGCTCGGGAAACTTCGGAAGACAGAGGAAGAAATATCGTCCAATACATCAAACCTGCAAAGCGTTCGCCAACCTCGCCCATTCCAATGTCGCCTGAAGATCTGAGAGATCTTGGCGCCGCAATCTCAGATAGTGAAGTCATGATCCAGGACAAGCAGTTCAGAACGGACAGTCGAACCGGATTCAAATCATCAAGACAAGCAAGCCGAGTCCGAAAACAATCTCCTGAGCCACGCAAAACATCTAGCCGTCAAACAAGTCGCAACTCCAGTCGCCGACCAGCCAGTCCTGATACTAGACTAAGCGGTCGAGATGCCCGAGGCCGAAGCGCAGGACGTTCTGGATCAGCAGTTCGCTCCCCTTCTTCTCCGTTGCCATTTTCTCCTCAAGCAAAATTCTACCAGGAAGATGAGGTTGCTGATTTTGAGGACTTGAGGGCGGCAAAGGCAGCTCAACTTGCATTCAGATTGAGGAGCAGTAGCCGTATCAGAGAGCGTGGTACAAGTGCTGTTCGAGGGTCTTCACCAAATGGAAGACGTCGTGAGAGATCTACAAGTCGAAGACCCTTGGAAGGTCAAAGATCGCCATACCTAACTCGAGATGGTACTGAGTCTCAATCTCACTTACGAACACAATCAGAGTCAGTACAAAAGGCCTCTGGACAGCAAAAGATGGATCCCAAAGATGAGCGAGCATTAAAGCGAGAACTGGCTGCACGAGAGCTTGAAGAAAGACGTAAATCTTTAGCTCAAAGGCCATTGGCGCCACCCATCATTCACCCAGGAGAATTAAGCGGCTTGTCACCACTAGCTTATCGTCCTTCTACCAATTTCTCCGAACAAGGATCAGCGGCGTCGTATTCGCCCCCCAAAGCAAGTCCTCAAGCCCCTAGAAGCCAACAGACTACACCAAACAATACTTCTCCAAACAGCGGTTTTGGTTCAGCTCCAGAGTCATCCGTGCAGATTGGTTTACCAGCAACCCCAAGGGCTATGCGTCATCCTAAGTATGATCCCGAAGGTAATGGTGCAGATCGTATTCCACAAGTTCCTCAAATTCCGAACAGATATGATACGGGTCCATCACAAGCAGCAGCAACATTGAGCGCAGCAGTTTTCAACAGTTCATCTGATAGCCTGCATGATACCTTTGGACCTCTTCCGAAAACTGTTTACCAGGCATCTCAACCACCTCGCCGTATGCCACCTCGATCTGCCTCAGCTCCGATCCCAGAAGAAAATTTCTACAAGCCAAATGTGATCCCAGCAGGTCTACCACTACATCCCGCATTTCAAGCCGCAATTCCATCCAGTTCTTCAAGACGTACACCCGATACCAGAGAAAGAATGTCACCCACTCAATCTTCTCGTAGACAAGTCTCCGGAGATCCCCATGGTGAGAGCGGAAGTAGAAGTGGAAGTCCGGTTTACGCAAGTGGACCTGTGAATGTGTTGACTGGAATCGACGAAACTATCGAGGCCAATCAAGCAATGCCTATGCGCCATCCAAACCATGATCTGATTCCTCCACCACCCCCACCCCCACCAGCTCCTCCTCTTCTTCCGCAACTACAGCATTTGGCTCTGCCCCCACCACCACCACCCGCTCCATTGTATAGACCAAATGCAAACACCAACTCCATGGTGTCGGGTGTATCATCAGGCTCTGGTATCTCTGGCGTCTCTTCCGGTTCCGGCGTCATCGAAATAGTAATGGACGACGAACCAATTCCCATGATTCCCAAGAGCAAAACTCCCACCATCTTATCCTCATCAACAATGAACTCTGGTTCCATAATGGAACCACCTCCGATTCCACCCACCCTCGAACGTCGCCGCACATCATCTGTCTCCCACATATACACACATAATCGCGGTCGTTCAGAGACGGACAACTCACTGTCGAACCGATTTTCACGAGCCGCAGAACGTTTGAGAAGCGCTAGCCGTGGTAGGAATAATTCGAGTCCTATTGTTGATAAGGGAGTTACAAAAAGTCCAACCGAGAACGGTGGGAGTCCATATGAAAGTATTCCTCCTCCAACTTGGTCTGTACCACCCCCACTTAGTAGGAGTGTTACAACTACTCCTTCGAGTGGTATGCAGATGGAGAGACATCCTATGGAAGTGCGAGCTGCGTATCAAGGGACTATGGAAGGTGGAATGATTTGATCATCTCTATTTCTTTCGCATCGTGTGGCGTTTTTATTCTGCTTTCGTTTATATTCTTCCTCGGATGTTGAAATTGCTTCAATTTTTTCATCTTCGAATCTCGATACCCTTTCTATTATTTCTTCAACGACGACTTTCATTCCTTCTGATTTCAAACGCAAACAAACGCATAACGGCCTCTATTTAACATTCTCATAACATTAATTTGATGAACGAAAAGGTGGGCTGGATTGGAAAATTATTCACATAACATTCTTGACTGTCATTTACAAACAAGAAAAACAAGATTACATAAGAAGCAGAAAGACAAAAATTGGCTCAGGCTTATGATGATATTATGAGTCTTTATAGTAGATGCGACAGGCTCTACTGATTTGATGGATATTCGTGGTGCTTTTTTGTTGATGAGAAAGAGAAATTTGTTCATAATATTGTATATCTACTTCTGAACTATCCTTGAATACATATTTACTTTTGCAAACTTATGATTTCTTCATTTGCGTTTTTTTTGCAGTTGTTTGGTGCTGGCATGGTATGATGCTTCCTAGCCCCCCCTTTTGGCACTTGAAATTATATTCAGTCTTTTTTCTGCCAGGAGTGGAGGGCTAAGTACCACACTGTTCCATTGATTTGGAATCGAGGAATTGAGAGGGCACAATGAACAGATTGAGGAGAGTTCAAAGAAATGATACGGGGCTTGAAGAAGAGTAAAATGAAGGCAAGACAGCATAGACACCAGGGCAAAAAAAAAGATGAAACATTGAGGAATAAGGACAAGAATTTGAAAGCACAATACCTAAAGTAGCTTGATACGAGGCAAGAAAAGGATAAGATATAAGTATAAGCATAAGCTTGGAAGTGGAAAACGAAGATTACAGGAGGAAGAGAATGCGGTTAAACAAATGGGCGTGTCTTTCTTATACTTCTTGCCTCACGGCTGGTTCATCGTTTGTTTTTGTCTTTTCTCTGAGGCTGAGTAGGAGATAATCTTTGATTCGAGGCTTTATTTAGATTTGCTAGATTTGAACTTGAAAGTAGCGATTGGGATATGGGACATGAATTGGCAATTTAATGATGAATATTACTTTCACCTGTAATGTTCTTTGCGACGTGATGGAAAGTGGCTTAATGTGGTGGTGGTGATGTTGACGACTGAGACGTATGTGCTGCGATAACTTCGTGAGGTATACTGGAGGGAGCCTTGAAGTATTTATGTAGTTAATCTTTTCTGATTTCAACGGGTTACGAGACGATATGTGGACAATCGACTTCTTGAGAGAAGTTTTGACAGAGTACGTTTCTACCACTTGAGATCACTCGTGGCCCCGCGCACGAAACTACGTGCGCCGATGAATATCTGAGTACTAGAGGTTATATATAGAACAGTATTTCCAATTCAAAGAAGAACAAAATTCCGTATGGCCTGACTACCAGTATCATCAGATGGCTGTGTAGTATTCAACTTTGAATATTAATTAGAACGGCATGCTAATAAAGATTGTGTATAAACTTTCCAGGATGAAGTCAACGAAACCCCCCTCCAAGACCCCTGCAGGATCGATCACGTGACTCTCAAAAAAGTGTCCGAGCGATTAATTTTCTCACCAAATGAATCTCGAACTGAATCTCGAAATCCAGGAATTGGGCTCCGAAAAGACGTGCAGTGAACCTGCAACACCCAAAGCACCTCACAATGAGTGTCTCCCGCCCAGCGCGATGTCTCTTCAACGCGCCTCTCCCCTCCCTCCGACCACTCACCCGACGACAAAATTTCCACGCCTCGACTCCCCTCCCCGCACGACGTCGTGCCCGTTTTGCTAGCATAAAACAGTCGGAGCTCGATGCTGCTCCCGCGAAGGAACTTTACCCTGGATATAGCGATAAAGAGAAAGCTTTGTTAGGGAAACGATATACCCCAGAGCAAATTGCTGCTATTGAGGCTGCGGAGGAATCGGTCGATGCAGATGATCTGAAAAGTCATGGAGTGATACGGACTGATTTGGGGAGGTTGAAATATATGGATGATTTGAGTATGACGCAGCCGGTAATCGACAAGAAGATCATGGATTATCGAATTGACCCAAATTGGACGCTGGATCAGGATAAGATCGGAGACGAATTCGTGGCGTACATGGATAAAGTTATGGAGGAGAATACTGAGGATATAGATCCTGAGGATCCAGAGTGGGAAAAGAAACACAGGCCGAATAGATTGGATTCGCTGAAGGCGCTGCAGAAGGAAATGGGCGATCCAAGCACTTTTGCGATTGCCCCGCAGGTTCCTGGAGATTTTACAAAGGACCCGGGTCAGGCTGCGGAGATAGCGAGGGAGGTGGATGAGGAAGATGAGGACAATCTTGATCCTAGGGATCCCGATGGAATTTACACGAAACTGCGCCACCAGACTGGACTCACCATGAACGAAATCTTCGAACTTGACACCAAAATCCTGGTCAGTCACCGAGTTGTCAATCAAACTCGTCTGGGTAAAATCGACAGTATGTACGTATTGGCAATTGCAGGAAATGGAAGAGGTAGATTAGGTATAGGAGAGGCAAAGGGTCAGGAACCGGAAGATACGAATAATAATGCAAAGATTGCGGCTATTAAGAATATGCAACCAGTTCCGAGATATGAGGAACGAACGATTTATGGAGATGTCGAAGGGAAGGTTAGTGCGGTCGAAGTTAAGCTTATGGCAAGACCTCCAGGTATGTTTCAAATATTATATCGCTCTGCTCACATCGAGTTTCTGGCAATGCGGGGCAAGAAGAGGAGCTAATTCATTCTTAACTTATAGGATTCGGTCTCCGATGTCAAAAACTTATCTTTGATATGGCAAAGGCAGTAGGGATTCATGACCTGGCAGCGAAAGTACCACGCTCGAGAAACAAGATGAATACTGTCAAAGCCACCTACCAAGCATTAATGAAACAACGGATACCGGATGAGATTGCCAGGGGAAGAGGAAAGAAACTTGTGGATGTGAGGAAGGTATACTATGGAGGAAAGGTATAAGGGGTATACGATGGGCGGATACATTGAAACAAAAGAGAGGAAATATGTACATGTATATTACATATTGTATGAGTACTACAAGATGGATGCGGAAAATGAATGTGCATTTGCATGGACTGGCGTAATGCTGGGAATGAGCACAAAAGCATATGGAAAAGCAAACATGGCATGAATTCATGATATTGCATTGGGGAAAAGATCTTAGATAAGAAAAGATTTTGATATGCAAGTTGCATTACACATGTTATGTGTGGGTATCTTAGTCCAGAACTCCTAAACAACAGATGAAGCAATTCCTCCCTTTCGAGTTTCTATCTGACAACTGTAATTCGTGATATCTCGTAATGATAGACTCTGCCATGCCATCAACGGTGTAAACCTTGCCGCCATAGGCTGATCTGAAACTCCAATCATGCCCACCTACCCTCTGTCATGTCCTATTCTACCTCTCCATGACACATCCCATTTCCCACAAATCGAGCCGCCTCAACACATTTCTTGAAAGTATCGGAGCTTAAGTTGGTGTGTCCTAGTCGAAATTCCACAGTGGTCAAGAGAAATACTTCCCACTCCCTTATCAAATGAGTGTGAATATCCGGCCTCTAAATCATGCAGTCGTACAGAAAGCAACTCCCTCCAAGCGATATCCACCATTCCTAACACTTTATTCATAATCTCCCTCCTCACTCCCCTCCACTCCACCATCATCATTCCTCTCCTCACTAATCTGCTGCTGCAGCACAATACTATAAACACTCGCTTTCAACAACGTAAAAACCAAACTTGTTTTCCGCTCCAACTGGCGCAGATTATCGAGAATATAGGCCGTGGGATTATTAGACATAGTTTCGAGAGTGTGCGCAAGCTGTTCAGGGCGCTGGTAAGCTTTGTGAACCTTGTTGTAGAATTGTGATTGAGAGAGGGAAGGAGGGGAAAGGGGAAAGATGAAGAGCGAATAGGGGAGAGGAGGAGAAACAAACAGTCTTCATATTCTCTGCCAAGCGCTCATACTCATCCAATAAATCTTGCTCTGTAGGTGAAAGATCCTCATTTGTAGGAAGAGGGATATTGGATGCGTCTGTCTCCATGGTTGCGACTGTCTTTTCAATTGTAATTCAGTTGCGATTGTAACCTGTGTTTAGCAATCTTTGGTTGTGAGAGTTACAATCGATTTGGCGATATCTAACAGATGTGCAGGCTAAAACTTTCGTAAATGGATGTGGTTTGGGAAATGATCACGTTTTGAGTTGATGTCGCGTCGTAAAGTTCAACGATTGTCAACCCCGCAATTACAACGGTCACGTGAAGAAGAGACTCAGACCGCGCGTTGGGTAAGGAACAGCTCGAAGGCACCTAGGCTCACCGGGAGATGTGCACTGTGATACATCCCTTCATGGCCTTCATGTATCTTGACCAAGAATTAGCGACATGGAGTTGACGTCGCATTACTTGTTAGATCAGAGAATATCACACAACAACGGTCAATTGTGCAACAATTTAATCAATTTTCATCGACTACATCTCAATCTACGTAACTTGAGACGTCTTGTTTCGCAATGATCGCTTCATTCATTCTCCCAAAACTCCACTTGCTCTTCAATATATGTATAGTTTTCACTCCTTCAAAAGCTCTATCTTTTCAACCACTTGTCTAACTCCCTACGATCCTCCTGGTCCTCCCAACAAAGCGAATCTTCGGACAATGCTTGGACCTATCTCATCATACTCTGTTTGATATTAGCATAACATACTCAACAGACAGGAGAACAAAAAGTATAACTTACCTGCTTTGGTGTGACAATAAGATCTGAACTCAGGGGTCTGACCCAAAAGACTACCACCGAACCATGGACCATGTCGTTGTCTCTTATGGGAAATGACTTGAACTTCCAAACCTCCACTTCTTGCGCCACCACTTCGTGCTTCGCTGGCTCTAATTCTGTCATCTACTAAATGTTTGATATCACGTTGCAACCTGCGACCAAAATCTTTGTATAATGTACTTCCTCCAGACAAGACAATATTCTTGTACAGTCCACGACGAACATCAATAGGCGAAGATTGAATGACGCCGTCGACCACTGTTGGAAGTGGAGTCAAGAAATCGGAGGAGTGAATTTCTGGGTTGAAGAAGATTTCTGGTGCAAGGAACCTTTCGTAACCAACATCAACAGTTACTTGACGCCCGCCGGGCTGTGTAACGGTATGCTTCTCGAATCTCGTAGGGTCGCGGTCGAAACGACCAAATTCCTTGACAATATCTGGGCAGACGTAACAATATTTTTCTTTAATTTCGCCGGCAGTCTTCAATGAGGAGTCCGGTTCGCCTCTATCTCGAAGTAAGGATTGAATGAAATATGTAATGTCTCGACCAGCGATAGGAATTGATTTAATTGATGATCCAATAACGTATCCTTCCGCAACAGGAATTACGTGTGTTACACCGTCTCCAGAATCAATTACGGTTCCAGTCAAGGATCGATCAGAAACTTTGGATGAAGTCCACGACGCAGCCAATGCGAGTACAGCTTGGACGGCAATGTATAGACCAGCACAATTAAAGGATTCGAACATAATTTCGGCAGTATTCTCGCGGTTCTCGGGTGGATTGAGTGGCTGGGAAATATCGGTAAGTGGAAATTTCATACGGACTTGAGAAACGAGCACATACAGGTTCCGTTAACAGAAAGTAATGATCTTCTGGCTCAACGCGGAGATATTTGAATATCGAATTGGACCAGAATCTTTCCATGTGATCCTGCAGATTTAATGTTAGCCACCTCGCCTTAACCATAGCCTTTGACCTCCTTACCCAGTTGTCAATTTGTCCGTGACGAATCGGATAGTTTATGCCATAACCTGCAATGATCAGAACGTGTTTCAATTCCATATATTCTATAGTTTATTCGCACCTGGTCCACTTGCGGCTGCTAATGCCTCGTCTCCGATAAAGAAGTCCAAATCTTCAGTTCCACGTTTCATTGATAGATGACCTCCTGGCCCAGCACCACCTGTAAGATATGAAGGCTTGTTGGCAACTGCAGGACGTCCAGATCCAGAGCCTGCACTAGCTCCTGCGGCATTTTTGGTCGCTATGGCGGTAGGGAAGACGAAGGAGGGAGAATCGTTTCCAGCGAAACCTATAATTGAGGCATTATTAGTTGTGTGCCTATCTTCTCAGAAGAAGAGAACAAACCAAGCTTGGAGTAACCGGTACCGCTATCGTTAAAGTATCAGTAATTGTACAAATAGATAACATCCCTTTCCTCGGGACACGGGGATATAGAATGCCTTGTGGGGATCTCGAACGTACTTGTCCATGACAACGGCCGGAGTGTGAGAAGCCATATTGAAATAAAGCTGCGCAATGCAGACCCAGAAGTGATGAGAAAGTTATGCGACAGCTTCAGAGATTGTAAATAACTTGTGCTGATAATTAACAGCTTGTATTGACCGTTGGCGTTTGAATCTAAGCTTCAAGATGACGACCCATACCTAGTGTAGGCGGTGCGGACCTAAACGAACTAACCCCACCAGTGCCAGCGACAGCCAGTCAAGTACGGTCAAAATGCGGATCACGTGCACGCAGTATAAAATTGATATTCCTGACTTCACTCTGGTCACATTGCTCTTCCTCATGGTATGAGAAGATAATTGAATAACCAAGGAGGATGGGGAAAGAAATATGAATTAAATTCTCTTGGGAGAAGGAAGAGATTTTGTCCGGTGAATTGAGGATCTTTTGAGTAAATGAGATCATTTTCATTATCATTATCATTATCCTTTAACTTTATAAGTGAACAGCTCTTTCCCTTTTCATCTCCAACCTCACTGCCTGTTCAATCTTACTATGTAATAGTGTACTAGGTACACATCTCAATGTCAACAAGACATATTTCTCTACTCTACATCCTAAGATTTCTTCCTCCTCAACTCTAAACATTACCACCGCGTCCATCATTTCTTTCTTTTACGGAATCGCACAGTCAATCTCTTTCACGCACGCATTCACATACACTCGTTTTCTAAGCATACTTTGTAAAGCTTTACCTAAATTATTGTTTGAATCTCAAACGTCTCAGCCGTTCTCTTGTATCTCTGATATTGAGTCTACTGTCCGAATATATCTTCGAGGTTAACCGAAGTCTCCTGTGACAGAAAAGCTTTCGGTTCCTGTATAGTCAAGGGCAGTCATTGCAATCAGAGATATTTCTATGGTATATCCCATAATGAGCTGTATCTATGACAATTAATGGCTGACTGATGTATAGTTCCAATAGCCAAATTGTTTTTGATATAAATTGCCACCTCGACAGAAACAGAGTTGGAGAAAACACCATCTTAGACGGCCCTCATCAAATATCGTTCTCGCCATCCTGTCCTATCCTTCAAGTTCGTCAACTGGAAACTAGATATCATTGCGAAAACCATAGGAACACGTTGTTACTCACGTATCGGTTCTCTCAACTGCAAGTTCCTGCTAGTGTCCCGTCCTCCCTGACACAACCTTCGAGTATCAATATACTCATATTCACTTGAATATAAACGTTTCACCTTTACCCCTCACTTGAGAGACTTCATGTCTGAACTCGCGCAACGATCCACTCCTCTACCTCAGCAATCTCTATTCGCTAACAAAATTGACATTGCGCGAGAGCGTTTTTGTCAACTTCGTCGCGAACTCTCTAATCTTTCCAATCCACTTCGCAAGTTTCAAAGATATAACATCGAAATTATCCCGTCCCCATTCTTAGATCGTGAAGGTCCATGGTCAGGATCCCCACCATTACTGGCCCCAACTCCTCTTTACCAAAACATGCAGACCAATAGGATGCCTGCCATGAGTTTTGATCCAATAATGGATGGATCAGCGGACACCAGAAGACCTCGTCTAGCACAACCTCAACCCTGTGTATCTGCGATATTCGTACACGCTGGTGCAGGTTATCACAGCACTACGAATGAACACATTCATTTGGGAGCTTGTAATGAGTAGGCTGACTGAACCAAGAATTGAAGCCTCGAAAGTTTACTTGAGGCGTGTGAAACTTTGCTGACTCTGATTTAGTGCTGCTCGCGCAGCAATGCGAATCCTCAAAGCCGGTGGTTCAGCCGTTGATGCAGTCGAAGCTGCGATCAAGGTTCTTGAAGATAAGGAAATCACCAACGCCGGATACGGTAGTAACTTATCAATCGAAGGTATAGTTGAGTGTGACGCAACAGTGGTAGATCATTTGGGTAGAAGTGGTGCCTGTGGTGCAACTGCTCGTAAGTCAATTGCCATTTTGCCACGTCAATCCATTGACCAACACCTTGCTCCCAGAAATCAAGAACCCTGTCAGTTTGGCAAGATTGATTTTAGAAGCTTCAAGTAGACCATTATCTTTACGAAGAGTCCCACCCAACCTTCTTGTCGGGCAAGGAGCGACGGATTTTGCATGGGAGCATGGAATACCAGTTGTACCACATGATATGATGTGCTCTAAGAATGCGCGCGAAAGATATATTCGTTGGCGTGATGATTTACGTCGTGCCGAGGGACAAGGTCGTATGACACCATCAAGTACTAACAGCAGTCAAGCTGCTGATGACGAGGCTGCCGCTCGGGAATACGAAGAACGTGTAAGAGCAAAACAGCGTCGGGACCACACCAACGCGCTTATGAATGGTACATGGAATGAAGGGCAACCTGATTCTCCTTCAACAACATCCCCAGGTCGAGCATGCCCTCAGGAATCTGGTCCATACTCTCCACGTCCTGGTACTCCTCCGAGCCGCGGATATTTTCAGATGAATGCGCCAGGCCGAGGAGCTTCTCGCTCTCCAGTAGGAACAACTCCCGCGAAACGAGCACGACTAGCAGCACTCAGTGATGGCAGTCCGGGGCGTGTTCAATCTCTTCTATCTCCAAGTGTTACTACCAGTGGTGTGTCCAGCGAGCCAGGTATATCTGCAAGTACTGCTCCATCCACAATCGATAGGCCATCTAGTACAGATGGTCATCTCTCTCCAACAGACCAGGAAAAGGTTATTGAAATGCATTCTGCTTCACTGGATCTAGCCCAAGAAGGAACAATCGAGTGCCCACATGAGTCTACTCCAGAACCTCTTACTCCCAAGAAGGCTGACGTGGACTTAATTACTGATACCGTTGGAGCTATCGCCATCGATATGTATGGCCGTATTGCTGCAGCATCTTCATCTGGCGGAATTGGGATGAAACATCGTGGCCGGGTTGGACCTGCAGCTCTTGTAGGTATTGGTACAGCCGTGGTTCCTTGCGACGAGAGAGATGAAGATCAAGTATCAGTTGCCGCAGTTACCAGTGGCACAGGAGAGCATATGGCGACTACCATGGCTTCGCAAAAATGTGCAGACAGACTCTACCACAACACCAGACGAGCTCGTGGTGGCCAGGATATGGAAGCTAATGAAGACGAAGCCATGGAGTCATTTGTTCAAGCAGATTTTATGGGCCATCCTGGTGTCAGTGGAAGTAACTCAGCAGGCGCAATCGGTGTTATGGCGGTCAAAAAGACACAGTATGGATATTTCCTTCACTTCGCTCATAACACCGACTCATTTGCCTTGGCATCTTATGCTTCAAACGAAAAAGATGCCAAGTGTGTTATGTCTCGTCTTGGAGATCATGGAAATGTTGTTAGAGGAGGTCGAAAGGTTAAGATCGACAAAGAATGACTTCCAGCGGCACGCCTCGCGCGAATTACCAACCTTCTACTCTAAGGTGTCGAGTTTGGTACATGCGTGTGGCTACTTGGTTCATCGATCCCTTATCATTTTTACTGGCGTTGTTTTGGAGAGGATGCATTATTGCTTACGGAGAAAGGGGCCTTATGATTTTTATGATTATGACCAACAAAATAGGTAGCGTTGAAGAATGGAATCGAAGGAACAGGATGGGGAGGAACCATTGCTAAAATGAACGAAACATCATATTACCGTTAACCTAGAAGCACTTTCCGCTTGGAAATCAGATGGGTTGTGATAGGAGGGAATGGGAAAGATGGATAGAGATGATAGTATTGCTTATGCTTTATTGCTACGCCGTCAACAGGCGATATTTGATAACCTAATAGAACCTAAAGTTACTCTTGACTTTAAGTGAGATATGCTGCAATAAAATTCAAGTGTGATGGTGTTCTGGATATTTGTGTGTAAATTTTGATAATTTTATAAATGAGCTCGCTCATGCTTTTGCTCATGTGATATGACATTATTTTATAAACCACAAATACAGTTCATTCTCTGAATCTTTTCATCCTCCTCACTTAACTGCAACTTTAAACAGTATTCTGGGAACTATTGGACAATATATCACACCACCGTTTTCCCACGCCGTTGTTCCATCAATTTAAACTTCATGTTGTGTTCCTTGGGCACACATTTGATGCAAAAATCCAGGATGATCATCTTTTATCTTCCTTACGCTGATATCCCCAAAACTTCAGGCTTGCCGTCCCCGTGCCACTATGTGCAATTTCCAGCCCCTACTCTCTCAGATTCCCTGGAACAACGATCCTAGATTCGACCGAGTGACCAAAGTGGAGAATCTCCACGGCCGTCCTGTTCATGTAAGTGCCCGTCTATTTGATTGATGATCACACCGCTAGGTAGCTCAAATATTTACTCCCCTGGCGCAGGAGTACCCCTGGCACTACCCGTTTCAACACCCGTACCATTAATCTTGCGCTTCTTCTTCTTTTTGCGTGGAACAACGGCAGGTTTAGCACCATAATTTCCGAGGGAGAGGTGCGTGGAACATGTTAGACAGATGGCGCCTTCGGGGGGCGAGCAGAAGACTAAATTGGAGAGAGAGAGATTAGTCGGATTCTTTGTATTGATAAAAGGGAGAAGGGAGGGGGAGATATACTGCTCAAACATATACTGCATACGAAACCCACATCCACCACCTTCCTATGACAAAAGCACGCAGCTCTGAAATCTACCACTTCCTGCGTTGGCGCTATTAAATCTTTTCGACTTGTTTGATCGGGCAAGAACGCCATCATTAGATATTGTAATAATCCTTGTGGATTTTTCAAATGCATATATATCCCCCTAGTAGTATCACTAGCTTGTTGTAGAAATACAGTGTCACCCGCGAGTTTCAATATATCGATTGGAATCCGCATGCGCTGTGCAGCGAATGTGGTGTTCATGATTGGGATATATTGATGTGCGAGATCACCAGACACTGAGAGAACGAGAATTCGCGATTGCAACCCGGTGGTAGAATCGGAGGGGGTGACATCGGAGGTAGTGGGTTTAGAGTCAGCAGCTGAGACATCGCTGTAGGCTGATAGTTGTTTATTTATATATGAGAGGGCGAGGGTGAGGGCACCGGCCATTTGGGTGGTGGTTGTAGTAGATACTTCTTGCTCGGTTGTACTATCTATCAAATTTCGTACAGAGTTTAGGAGGGTATTCTCGATGAGTGCGAATTGTCTGTATTTATTTGCGTCATCTGGCGGGCCGTGGGTAGTCGAGCCTCCCATTTCTGTATCTTCGGACGCAGAAGGCGGCGCTGGGTAAAGCCATACTGCACGATGACAATGGCTAGCTATTATGGCTACTTGATTGGCATTGTTGACAGCGAGATGTGCGTTTACGAAAACGAGGAGATTGGCTATCGCTTTCGAGAGAGGAAGAGTCGATGAGAGAATTTCCCACGCGTGCGGATTGGTATCTAGGATGATGACGAGGCATGAAGGAGAAGGACCTGTTTCTGTATTAAGATGACATGCAATTGCCGCAATGATTATTTGATCATACCTTTGACGCCTCCTGTGAAATGATCTGTACCATCTATACCATCCATGGTGAAAGCCTTGCAGGCATGACAGCCTGATAGGTTCGAAGTTCAAAGGATCTATCCGTTTTTCCGACTTTATATGTGACTTGCGTTTCTACTACAGCCCAAGAGGTTAATTCCCTTTCCTAGATGCTCAGAAAGTCCGTATGATCGCGATTGATATTAATTTCCCTAAAGGCTGAGAGAATTGATGGAATTATGAGCAAGGCTAGATGATCTTCATCCAGGGTATAATGCGGAATGCGGGTACGGTCACCCTTGCTGTCGCCTGATCATGTGACGCGACCGTTTATCTTCGGTACTTACTCAGAAATGTGGGGCTGTTAAGCTTGTGGTTTCACAAGGGAGGGAGGGGCATTTGCTCGTACTTCGTATAATTTGGAGCTTTCCCCTCATCTTCATCTTGATCTTCCCATTCATGATTTCGTTTCCATCAGACTTTAATTATATTTGATACTTCTTCATCATGTCGAACTCATTTGATCAATCCTTCGAAAGAAGAGGCACTGATCCAAGTGTTCCTCATGCTACAACCGCCGCAAACGATTCCCTTGAAGACCAAACACTTCTCTTACTTGCCCGTTTGACAGAAGGTGGACAAGAAGATGAGGATACTTGCAAGGAATTGAACACTCTCACCAAAATTCTTACTGATGATTCCAACGAAGAAACAAGATCGAAGGAGCCACACAAACCTCTTTTCCAATTGATCGATCAAGATATCCTAGAAACTATCTTGGGTTATCTTGATATGAGACAGTCTCCTTCGGTCCGAGGTCACGCGACTTTGACCACTTCTGCATACCTCAAAGTTTCGGAACAACAAGGTGTTGACTATCTTTCTCATTTCTTCTACGATCGAGTTGGCAAAGGCACATATGACGATCTGATTCTTGCCTTCTCTGTTGCAGCATCGATATTTCCTGTGGTTCCAGAAGTCATTTCCTCATTTTTCCTAAGTGAAGGTTTCATTCCTAGCCTTGGTACCTTAATGAAGAGGAAATGGAAAAGTCGAAAGGTTGAACAGGCTGCTCTAGAGTTGCTTAGTGCTGCTTGTATGAACACCCCTTGCCGAGAAGCCATCCAGAAGCATTGTACGAAATGGCTCGAAGAGATCGTCAATAATACTCCACCCACAATTTCTGAAATTTCTACAACACCTATCGATAGCAATGCAGAAGACGGCTCTATACAACAGCGAATACATTCCGAGCAAGTGAGGAATCTCGCAGCTGTTGTCTTGGCCAAGATTCAGGTACGCTTCTTATGATTTTACCTGCATTATCCATTTACATACTTTCATATCTAACGTATTCCCTCTTCAACCAATTGTTCTGACTGACCGCAGAAGTGAAGGCTATCCCTTCAGCACCAACTGCTGAATCTGGGGAAGGAGAAATTTCTGGAAGTACAACTATTGAAGACCTTTCAGACATGTTTAAAAACATGCTTTCTACAGACACATCTCAACAAAGTTCGATTGAAGGTCTCGCTTATGCGTCGCTGCAATCAAAAGTTAAGGAGAAGCTTGCTTCAGATAAGAAGTTTCTGGCCAATCTTGTCAAAACTATGAAGGACGCTCCGCCCAAATCACCGGCAACTTATGGATCTCTCACTATTTTGGCCAATCTTACAGCATACCAACCTCCCTTGACAGAAGAACAAAAAAAGCTAGGCCAATTGAAAGCTTATGCTAATGCATCAAAATCCTCCCTCAAACCAGATCCTCTCAACGACGATGATCACGTTACGAAGAGATGTCAAAATGTATTCGACGCTGGTGTTATACCTGTTCTCGTCACCCATAGTCAGCATGGATCGATAGCATCTCTCACACTCGTCACAGCAATCATTTTCTCACTTTCCAAGATAACTAAAATTCGAGGACAAATGGCCCAACAAGGTGCAATCAAGCTCTTATTACACGCGGATTCTGTTTTTCCCTCGGATAATATACCGGCTCGAAGAACCACAGCTCATGCCCTTGCCCGCATTCTCATATCCAACAATCCACAACATGTATTTGGCGGCACCAATCCTTTATCACTTGTCTCAGCTATTAACCCTCTTCTTCTTCTTCTGGAGGATGACCCAACAGTTGAACACCGCGATCTCCTACCTGTCTTCGAAGCTCTCCTGGCCTTAACAAATCTCGCTTCTACGGATGATTCAGCTCGTAACCCTATCATTCGACTTGCTTGGTCTCAAATTGAAGAATTGCTTCTTTCCAATAATACTATGGTAACTCGTGCAACAGTAGAGCTTATCTGTAACCTCATGCAATCGCCAGAAGGCGTTGCCAAATTCGCAGACGGCAGTAAACAAGCTTCACAGCGTACACATATCCTCTTGGCCTTAACGGATGCCGATGATTTCGCCACCCGAAGAGCAGCAGGTGGAGCATTAGCAAGTCTCACGGAATGGGATACTGCCGTAACAGCTATCCTTGACAGAGAAAGAGGAGTCAACCTTCTTCTAGCTCTGTGCACAGAAGAAGAAGAGGAAATTAGACATAGAGGCGCAGTTTGCATTCTTAATATACTGACGGCACCGAATAAAGCTGGAGAAAAGGGAAGGGAAATGGTGAAGGAGAATGCGGGATTGGAATGTCTGAAAGAATGTTTGAAGAAGTCGAGGAGTCAGCAGGTTCTAGAAATAACCGTGGAGGCGTTGAAGAAACTCATAGGTGATGGGGAAGAGGCGAAGCTGTTGGAGGGCTGAGTACGTAGGTATTTGCGGGTAGTATCATACGATAGCAGAATATCAAACAATCTCTAAACATCCATATACCTGGAATAGATTGCATTCATGATTGGTCATTTGTGAAAGTCCTGAAGATTTTCTAAAACGTAAATACTTCCAAAATCACACACATTTACTCATCATAAATACCTAGGTCTTTTAATCGTCTCTGAGATTTCATTCCATTCCTGAACTTCCAATTTTTCATCGCACAAGGAGGAGTTGTATGCTGAACTCAATCTCAATCCCAACTCATATGCCACGGAAGACAACACGGTCCCAAGATACTAGATATGCATACATAAAACATCTACTAGCTGATATGGTAGTTGTCCTTCCAAAATAGAAAACGCGATTCCCAATCACGAAATCATGCTTTCATACCTTATCTTCTTATCTGATGTCTACTCCGAGGATGACCCGGACTCGCTCCACACAAACTACCAATCACACTGTCGATAATTCTTACACCATATATCTAATTAAAACTTGCGATTTTTTCTCGACTGTAATGGTCATAAGGTTAAGGCGAGCTCACGTTCCCTCTTCCTTCTCTCCAAATTCTTCAATCTAACGATTGAAGGCCACCAACAGTGCCCAGTCCGAACACCACGGTGGCAACCCACTCGTGCAGGAAACACACGATGCTGCGGTTGTCCTAAGCAATGAAGATGATTTCTTGAGGGAGGTCTCACTCTGCAGAGAGCTCTTCACCGTGGGGTGGCGGTGCAGGATTACATTCGTTGTGTGGTTTGGAGTGTGGAAGAGGATTGAGTTTCAACTTTTGCCTTTTTATCGTTCTCTTTGGTTTTTGGGATTTTTCGGGAGTGTTAACTAATGTACAGGAATTCACAATGGATTGATTTGCTCATGTCATTTTAGGAATATTTGAAGCTATCGCGAGATCGGCCCACTTTTATGTTTTGGCCCATGTGAAGCTTCTTCCCTAAGCGATACATACAGATTGCAATTCGCAACTTATTAGATAGACGATTAAATTCGTACACATATTGTATTTGATCGTTATTATGCAATCTTTCGGCCACACATCATATTCTCTCTTTCCTCACCGGACGTGTCACAATCATCACATTGATATACTTGATCAGCAATTGTGAAAGGTGACCATCACTGACTCTACTTAGAAAAGAAAACACAGTCATGATATCGGTTGCACTTCAGCTTGTTTATATCATAGTGCAATTGAATTATTCCTCTCAATGAAATCGCTCGAGTTCACTTGTTGCACCTTGTCATACAAAACATTTAGGAGACATTGCATATATAGTGGGCATTAAGAAGTACAACTCTAATTAACATGAATCACTCTCGCTCTACCGGAAATTCCATGCTCTCATGATAAACACCCTCTTGATATTGATAATCCGCCAAAATAAACTCCTTGTTCAGCTCTCCGTCTCATCCCAGACCGTGTGCCATCTTCTTGACTCACAATTCATCATCATCCGGATCCGGAGGCACTGGCATACAAGATGACTCCATTTCTACCCATCGCACAGCAGCTTTCGGAGCAACATCTGTTGGTGGCGGTGGCGGTCCCACAATCTCCCAATCTATCAAACTATCTTGTTCGCGCATCATTTGGCTTCGGGACATGAGTTGTGACGAACGAATCAGAGAGTAAGGGGCGGGCGTTGAAGAGGGGTGGTGTGACTCTTGTTCACCCTCTTCTTCTATTGGGTCGTTATCTGGAATGCGTTCGTCTTCGTTTTCTTCATCTCCTATATCGTGGCCGTCTTTTCTTTCATTGTTTTTTTCACATTCATTTTCATTCTCATCCTCGATCTGGCTCTCAATCTCAATAACCACACGCTCTCTCCTCGTCGCTACAACAGGCAAACTATCCTCGTCCAAGTCATCCTCATCATCACTCTGACTTTCAATCTCAATAACCCTTCTCTCCCCTCTTCTCGGCACAATAGGTGTCAATATCTGCACCGGACTACTACCACGCGAGGAAGAAGGAATAGATTTTGCCGGTGACTCCGGAATTATCTCTGGAATAGGAGTTTCCTTTCGTCGATTTCGTAGACGATGTGGAGTAGCAGGTGTTTGGGTTTGTGTATAATCAACCGTCGAAGCTTGTGATAGCCTCACCAACTGACGTTGTGAAGATGGTACGTGAATCACAGGAGTTTGCGTTGCGATTGGGGGTGAAGAAGGTGGCGACGAAGGGGGCGAGGAAGAGGGCACTTGCGTGTGTGAGAATTGTTGAATGTTATTCGTGATCTGATCATGTACCTCTTGAGATTCAGTGCTCGTGCTTGATTTCTTGTGCAGTGTGGATGCGGGATGTATATTATCGACAGCCGAAGAAGATTGTGTGAAAAGAGGTGGTAATAAATTCGCAATCAGTTCTCCTAAGACTGCGGGTGGGACCTTATTATATTTCTGTGGAGCAGCCTTGAACCATTGTCGACTCTTCAATTCTTCCAAGGTCATCGGATTTGCGAGCGCATATAGTTCTAGGATTTCATACGCAAACTTGGAACGTTTCTCACCCTTATTGAACTCACTGTTACCAAGCCCATCAAGATTCGTTATCTCTCCAGGTGCTTTGGGCGGGCCAATAACGGCCATATGAGTAAGAGTCGATAGAGGTCTGATTTGGTAAATCCAAATACGGGACACAGTAGCTGGAAAACTATAAGAACGAAACTCGTGGTTCTTCTCACGGGAGATTATGTTTTCCACGTGGGTTGGATATATAGAGACGAACACATCAGAAGAATCCGATCGCGGTGCCATGGCATCCAGATGTTGTGTGGAGAGGCGTTGGCTCTCAGGATATTGACTTTTACCAAATTGGGTCTGCTTTTGGGTGTATTGAGTTCCAGTGCGGTGGATTTGAGAATATTGAGTTTGTGTGTGCTGGGTAATGGCATATTGGGTTTGTGGTAACTGGGTACTACCGTAAGATACAGTTCCCGCCGCGTCGTCACCGAATGGAACGTTCTCTTGGAATTCACTTAAACTCGACGAAGTCATGATCCGCTCAGCCTGGAATTGTGTGTCCGCTCCTATATCCCCATAAAATGTTTCCGGAAGTTCGGACTCCTCCTCAGCGTCCCCTTCTGTTTGTCTAGTAGTATCATCCGTTGAGCGATCATCGTCCTGCTCTGTCGTCCTAGCTGTGTTTTCAACCGTGTCTCCTTCATTCGTGAGACCTTCATAGCCAGGGATAGTTCCTGGCGGGGTGTCCGCCACAACTTGGGATTCCTCATCTTCTTCGTCCTCCGCATCCGAATCCAAGATTTCGAATTTTATATTCTTGGGGGCAGGGGTCCCCAACCGGCGGGTAGGCGATGGCGAGAAGTCACGCTGAGTGTCATGCTCTTCTTTTATGGGAGTCTCCTCCGCAAAAGATTCCTGACTAGAATCTGGTATAGCAAAGCGTACCGTTTTGGCCGGACTCGAATGCTTTGAGGGGGTTCGAAGAACTTGACTTTCATCTGTCCCAGTCTCAAAAGTATCCTCAATTTTCAATTTTGGTATCTTTTCGGCACTCGTGATTGTATTTGATCGTAGGGAGAAGGGTACTATGACATTTATAGATTGCTCTTTGAGTGGCGACCGCTTCCGTGAGGAACCTCCAAATTGACTTGACGTTGGAGTAGCCGGTGATTGTGATGATGGAATTTCAAGAATCTTCCTATGTCTTGGCGTTTGTGGTGGAGGCATTAACTGAGCTGGATCAGAAGTAACAGGTTTGGAAAACTTTCGCGGACTTCGTCGAAGTGGTTGAAATGCTGGAGAGCTGGATACTGGGACATCATAGATTGATGGATCGTCTTCTGGTTCTTCTGGTTCTCGTGCTCCGGAAAGTGGCCAATAATCAAGCTGGGTAATCGTCTGCGTCGAGAAACTTGGTGTCTTGCCTTCCTCTCCTAGAGTCTTCCGTCTGTTTTTCGATCCTTTCTTCTTCTTTGCCTCCTGTTCATCGCCCATAGTCCTCCGTCGTTTCGTTCTTCGTTTCGATTCTTCTTGCATATAATCTCCTTCACTATCCTCAATATCATCCTCCATTTGTTTTTCCAGTTCTTCTCTTTCATGCATTTTTATCCAATCCATCTGCGTAAGTGTGTCCTGATCCTCGAGCTTCAGCTTAGATTTCTTGCCATAGTTCCTAGTTACACGCTTCTTCGTTTCTGGAAATGTAGTTTGATATAATGGTTCGACTGCTTTGTATGTTCGATTTGCAGGCGCACTACCTTTTGGTCTGGACTTCTGCTTTGGAGGCATTTTTCTTGAAGTTTGTATCGTCGTTGACTGGATTATAATGTATTTTGTTATATTGAAGATAGGCAGGCCATGGTTGCCTCAACACGTCAATTCGCGCTCGCGTTCCTTATCTGTTATCTGTTATCGGACGCGACATTTCGCACGTGATCTGCCATTAATTGAAAAATCCGCCGATTAAGTAAGCACACTCTTATGAACACCAGGTGGAACATTCATTGTGCATAGATAATATAGGTACTCTTCAGACGGTTCCCCCACGTCGAGATCATTCATCATTGAGCCTCATCGTTCTCATTACGGTATCATATTGACAAGATGGAGACAAGATTGATCCGAAGATTTTCGTACCCGTGATATGTCGGACAGCTGTGGGTAAACCTATGAATCGCGAGCTTGGGAAACGTTGTGCTACGGTGACATTTTCATGAGTTGACTAGGACTCATCCAATACCAATTTGTCCGGGTAATCGTCAACAGTGACATCCAGTGACATTCAAAGACTATGGTGGCTTTCATGTGATGCAGCTGCCAGCGCATATAAGGTTACACTCGCAACGACATGGTATGCAGAAGTGGCCGCGGACATTGATCTTTCCCACAGCGTAGCGGAGACGTCTCCTGGACCACGCACTATCACCGATCGAACTCCGACGCTTTCGATATCACTTTTCAGTAGCGATCGTCAGAATTTATCCGAGCGAGGAAGTAGTTCTAGTTGTCCTCTCTCTTTCTTCTACGGATTGAAATGCGTTTTGATATGTTTGGCCATAATATTTGACGAATCACCTTCCTTAAGTGCGGAAGGTCCGCTTCCTTCTTTCTTTCCTGCGGGTATCATATCACCCAAGAAGTTTTTGCTGTCTTAAGTTTGAAACCTTATCCCAGTTAGTTTTCTCCGATTCTCGCCCGTGTGGTACTGAGGTTCACGATCTCACGAACCCTTGATATGATATATCATTGCCCCATCATTCACCCCACTTTGACCAGAACCCCCAAGACTACTCTATGTTTTTAAATCTATCTATACACCTTGTGCATTCTTTCACGATATTCATATACGCATGAATGATCATGTTTGTCACAGTTTGACACGCATGACCTGCTCTCCTAAACCAATGCTATATAATATGGGGGTGCACTGGGCCTAAGCATATGCGTCACTGACATTTTCATCTAGATGGGATAGGCAATGATCGTAACACTTCCTCCTTTACTAGTACATACATTCTTGTCCCCTTAGTAGCCGAGATATATGACTTATCTACGAACGGGCTACAAAGAAATCGTCAGCTCTGTACGCTGATTTCAGCAAGGATTTGCTATGTGCTTTTCCAACACACCTACCCTAATGCTCTGTGAGCTCATATACAGGGCTGTATCATTCGAACAGATGCCATATGAGCAGTAGGTGCTGGCACTTGTGTTACCTGTGTTGATTTGGATGAGATATGCAACAAAACGCAAATCTTCCTCAGAAATCTGCACGACTTCACTCTCATCTCTATTGGTGCCGCATGACACTCTTGTCTGTACCAATCCTAGATGTGTATTCATGGGCCTTATGCTCAAGAAACTTGTGTTACATGTGTTGTTTTGACTGAGATGCGCAACAAAACATGCAGCAGACCATGGTATACGCCTAACTGGCCAAGGGCTAGCAATCGAGGCATGCAGTGATACACATACATACTTCCAGAATCATATTAGTGGATGTCAGTACCACCTGCTATGTTCGGAACAATTATGTTGCTTGTAGTTCTTTCTTTTGATTCTGTAACAGAAGAATAATGATTTATCCATCAGACTCAAGAGCCGCTAAGGGGTGCTTACCTCAAACGTTTCCCGAACCAATGCTAACTTTCTACGGCGAGCACAAAGTATATTTATTGTATTACCTGTGGTTCTTGAAGTCAGATGTGCAACAAAATGTGCTAAAATATTACACAATTCGGGGGCATATAGCGTGGCGTACGGCCAGTATTCAGCACTGGTGGTGCAAAGAGACACTAGGTTATTAGTATACGTGTCACTGAGATGATCCGAATTACAGAGACCTGTCCTGTGTTACATCTGGTGGACTGAGAAGTGCAACAAAAGACGACAGTCATCTTTCCATCCCGTGGCTGCATCAGTCCTACCAGTGTTGGTAGGACTGAGACATGCAACAAGAGAGCAAATTCATTCACCCGAGTCCATGGATATGGAAAGTATGATTTTGAACACATGTGGCGGCGTGAAAAGACAATAATGATTCTTCTCTGGATCGGATTAAGTTCCAATCTATCTAAAATGTTAGGTTCACGCTGGCCAGATTATCAGTATCTTTGCTTCTAGTGATCAGAGCAATTCTAATTCAATATCACAACACTCGTGTGTCACCATAGGACTACAGTCTCACACGCTTCCATTGTAGAGCTTGAAATTTCATTTCTTCGTTCTCATTGCTACAATGCACGCTAAAACACCAAATTGGTAATTTAATACTTAAGTAAAGATCCTGCGAATCCACTCATAAAGCCTATTGATCCCTAGCTTCACGCCGTTAACCTTTCCATTCCATTTCCCAAGAAAATCAACCCAATTATTTGCTGGTATCAACTACATATCTTCCAGCAATCTTGCCCTCGTGCATCAAGTCGTAGACTTTCTGCAACTCGCTCAAACCGCATGTCTTATATGGAGCCTTAATAAGACCACGTCTGAAGAACTCAATAGCCTCAGCAGAATCTTGACGGTTGCCAACGTACGATCCCTTGATGGTAATCATCTTGACAACTGACTCGAAAACAGGCGCACGAAGATAAGCACCAGCTGGGAGACCGATAGCAACGACAGTACCGCGGGGTCGAACATACTCCGCAGCTTGCTGGAATGGCTTCTCATTGACCGCAACCAAAATCACAGCATGAGGTCCCAATCCATCGCGTGTGCAAGCCTTGACATCGTTGACCAAATTGGTGCTTGACATGAAGTCAACATAATGCTGCGCTCCCAGCTCTTGTGTCATTTTCTTCTTTTCAGCACCTCCGTCAATTGCAATAATATCTAATCCCATAGCTTTAGCATACTGACATGCAAGCGAGCCTAAACCGCCTCCAGCACCAACAATAGCTACAGTTTGACCTGGGCGAACTCCAGATTCTTTAAGACCCTTGTAAACGGTTATACCAGCGCAAAGAACGGGAGCAATGGCTTCGAGGTCGCATTCCTTTGGAATACGCGCAATGTGTGCGGCTTTTGCAATGCAATATTCTTGAAATGTTCCATCGACTGTGTATCCTGAGAGGAGGGCTTTGGCGCAGAGTGGTTCGTCGGATTGTTGACAGAAACCACAGGCGAGGCAACTTCCATTTAACCACTATACTTCAATCAACACTTGACTTCCAATTTCCCAAATTTTCCATGGGAACAGAAGGACGGACGCAGCTTACCTTGACACCAGCATGATCACCAACCTTCACATCCTCAACAAGACTACCAACGGCAACGACAATACCAGCTCCCTCATGTCCTCCCACAAGTGGAAGCTTTGTATCTAATGGCCAATCACCATTTACAGCGTGTAAATCAGTGTGACATACACCGGAAAATTTTATGTTTACGAGGACTTCGTCAGGACCGGGCTTCTGGACGGGGATTTTCTTGTAGACGACGGCTAGAGTTGTAGGTTAGTTTTGAGGTCGGAAACGAGGAATGTGGAGAAGGGAGACGAGACAGTGATGATAAAGGAAGGAATAAACATACGTTTGCCAGTTTCTTCGACTACTTGCGCCCATTGTTCCTTGGGAAGATTCTCCATTTTTGATATTTGGGATGATGTGGATGTTTTTACTGAGAGTTTGTTGAGATTGTTCTGGATAGGTAAGATATGTAGGTGTAATTGTTGAATGATATACTGATGGTATGACAATAATTGAATACTAAATAAAGAATCTTCTTTTAGACGCTCGGGAATCAGTGAATATATAGTAATGGAACAATTATACGATGGTAGTTATCCAAGCTCTAGCCCCTCCAACAAAGATAACCCCACTCCTACGAAGGTGTAATGTCTCGGATGTCTAGTCCTGATCTACAGTCGCGCATTTGGAAGCTTGCGTTTCTTTGTTCGTTCACTTCATGCTATTGGATCATTCTAAAATTGAGTTTACAGCTCGGATTCATGGAAGGAACTAATCAGCATACCTAGGTGTAATTCACCTGCTAATTGGTCAGATCATCGAGGTACCTGTTCTTGTTGGAAACGGCGATACCCTAGAGGCCGGGATTCACGGCGGCGGACGTGTGGAAAAACACCGGCGAGGGGCTAAGGACTATTGTTATCCACAGAATAGACGCATTGTGCATTGCCCCTCCTCCCGCCAGAGAGGGGAAATATACAAGAATTTGCTCGGGAGGTTCAGAAATGGCGTGGTTTTGCTACTCAATTCACTTTGTGTCACTTTGTGGATGAGCCACTATGTCATTGATCATAGAAATCCCTGCCAAACGTGTCGTATGGGAGCTACCAATACCGTGATTTTGGAATATGCTATGTAGGTAGGTATGCTATGGAAGCTTTCCGTTCTCGGTCAGAACAAGGTTTGAGGTCGTCTCCGCATGAATGCGGGGAAAGGTGTTTTGACAATCCACCACGTATTCTCTAGCTTCCAGCTACGCGTGTCACATCAATCAGGATGCGGGGTCACATAGCTACCTAGGTATTGATTTGGTTACGAGTAAATGAATGTCTCTCGCCCTACGAACCTAGGTAATTACCTAGTAGAATTTACCTTTGATCCGAGAGCTACACGGTACCTACGGTCTCCGGGAACAGGATTATCAAAAGTAAGATTTCTGATTATTCCACGCCATCGTCCACGAGGGTCTTTCGTCTTGGAATCTCTGTAATTAGGCCGGTCGCGATAGATATTGTGACACCACAATCATCCTGTTATATTCTTTCCCTAGGGAGTCTTTCATTTCATCTACTAAGTAATACGTGGGTGATTATTTGATGTGATACGACGTTTTATTAAGTGAGCTGTTTGAAGGTGGTCTGATTTCTCGGGTTTATTTTAGAGGCTGAGACGGTTGAAAGATAGCCCAATCCATGCTTGGTGGTTGGGCGAAGGAATGCACGATTTTTGCCTAGGACGCTGTTGGACTAGCTTAGAGGTGGGGTTTGAGGGGGATATACGTCGGAGAAAAAGGAGGCCAGCATATGTAGATTACTCTAATAAATTTTATAACGTCAATAATAAACCAATTACAAATAACTTTGTAAGAATTAATAGCATTAAAACAAATCTTTAGATATTACTAGTTATAATATTATTTGAATTCCTAATTCTCTCGATTGAACTTGAACAATTGGTCTATTGAAGGATTTCGCAATGGAAATTGTATATCATCATGTACAAACAATTTGATTGAAATATTCATCTATTCGAGTAATTTTGTTACATGCATTGTGGGATTCTGATCACATACCTTTCATCAACGAGGCGATACAGTGAGGCTAAACGATGAATGCTCGCGAAACAAAATGCGGTTCAAGGGGCCAGGGTGAGATGTACTCCTTGCCTACTTGTAGGACCAAAGAACATCTCGTTGCAATTCGTCCACAACAACAATTTGTCCAATTCGAAACATGGCCCAATGGCGAAAACACATCCGGAAGGATGCTTCCAATGAAAAGCAAACCCTCAATCTGTTGTTTTCGAGATGTCGATGCTACTCAGAGAGAAAGATTGATTGAAGTACAGAAGTCCTCCCTTGAGAGCAATCCAATACATATTGACTGTTCAAAAACGAGAGATCCATCCAAAAGAGAGAATTGACTTATGTGAGATCTGCGCATAGAAGAACACAATGATTCCGCATGATAGACGATGCATATGCCAATAAGGTTAAGCGGATAAATAGTCGAAAAATTCCATCAAACCCAAGTGGATATTCTTGCAACGACAGTTTGTTGTATTTTTTTGTGACGTCGTGATGGGTTCCCAATCACGATGCACTTTGCTTTTTGCCAGCCTTTCCAGCTCAAGTGCTAAGGTAATATGTAGTCCCTCAAACTATTAAATAAGTGTTTCCGGTGTCTCCTGCTCTAAGGGTTGCAACATGTGGCGTAAGATGCGGAGATGGAGATCTTCTTAGCTTCTTTCAGAGCTTGAAGAAATGTTCTTACCATAGAGCGAGTGTGATATGACGAGATTTGGATGTTAGTACAATCTCCGCGCCGCATTGTTAAGAGCAGTGTACTACGAAATGGGCATAGTACAACAGGCCAAGGTTAAGGTTGAGACCTCAGGATATGCTAATTGGTGGATTGCATCGAACATCACGCTTGACGAGAACCGCAAAGGTGTATCGAGTACTCTTTGTATCAGGGGAGAAGATATACTCAAATACAGTAGCTTCGAAGTTCTCTAAAGCCATTATGCTAAGGAAAAGACTGGCTATATGGCAATATTTTGGCTTTGTAACCCAATCACCACTTTTAAATGATAATCTCACCACCCTGGGATTTTTTTTCTTCCAAAATCACTGGTATCTATCATCTCTTGCTACTATAGTCTAAATGACTTTGTTGAGGTCACAAAGCCATTCCGGCTTGTGTGGTATATTTCGAAATTTAGATCATCTCAACGCGACTCTCCTCCTTTAGTAACATATCACTCCATGGATACTTGCAATTTCATATCCGAAGTACAATGATGGACCGAGCAGTTCTTGGAAGAAAAAGACGGCAAGCCTTATTCAGCGATTCTAGGTTCTACCCCAATGTCCCCATCTTCTCCAGGGATCCACTGCAGAGACATTCCGAGTCTTGACTTGTCCAGATTCATAACTCCACGTTCATAGAAGCTTCACATGTTGCAAAATAATTCCGGTCAACTCTCAGAATCATAACCATATAGGAGAGAACGCAGTGGTCTAACGAGCTTAAGGGTTGTCCCATGGAATTGAAAAGTTCTGTAGAGTTCCCTCTCATGCACAGTCAAATAATCAAGACTAATAGTTGCGAGCTTCTTTCAGAAACAACCACTCAGCGAATTGTGCTCTATGGAAGAGACAATCAATATACGAATGCTACAGTCACCTTTGTGGGATCGTCCTCTCGAGCAACACGAGTTTGATATTTGAAACTTTTTGTATGTTTCTTGCAGGCGGAGATGAAAGACTTCACAACCGGCTCGTAGCGGCTTTTTTCTCCAACTGGAGACTCATGTATATATAAATGCTTCAACAAGTCTCGTACAGAGATTTGGGACCTTCTTTGATTTTCAAGGCAAAAAACTTTAAGCATATTAAAGATATAGAATCAAGAGATCAAAACCAACAGTAGATATTTACTTTTCCAGTCTGAAAATAGTAAGTCTGGGACTGTTTTCATTAAAAATGAAAAGAGCCTGTAACTCTTGATGTTCCATGAGCGGCCCCATTACCCATGGCTCGGAGTAGCGTTGATATTTAACTGGACTCTTTCAAGGCCTCTTAGAAACGTGAAGTATTTTGGATCATTATTTATCTGGTCAAAAAGTTCAAGATGAAATAAAAATCACCATATTCGAAGCTTGAGAGAGAGCCTTTGAATGTATAAAATAGACAGATAAGCAATGTAGTATTGTTTGCAAAAGAAAGGACCTAAATAAACACATACACAGATGGTTCACGGGATTGAGTGTTAAAAATAATGTAGTTTATTCCAGATTCGTTTGATCCAGTGAGAGATTACCGTTTGATGAAGTGAAGACAAGAGGTCTAGCAAACTTGAACCTTCGCTTTAATACCAATATTGCACAAAGTCGGGCCGAACTGCCCGACTTTCATTGACCATAAACAGTTAAAAAGATTTCTTTGGGAAGAATAGCCGAGTCTTTGTCTGCCCTCTTGGATTTTTCTCACAAATCTTGATATTTTCCTCGAATATAACTTCTTGCAAGTTCCAGTTGCTTGTTGCTACATAAACTTATTCTTCCAACTTCAACTTTTTTCGTTGCACATTAACAACTGCATTTATCCTGCAAGGTGTCAATTTTGTTCTGGTAAGTTGATGATCTCTTACTATCTCCTCAAAAGTCTCTAGGAATGTCGCAACAACTTTCATAGATTGAGTGCCTTACAAGTTGCATATCAAAATACAACCAACCATCCACAACAGCACACCGATGATATGGATGAAAGAGAACTACTCTATGAACAACTTACCTCTTCAACTGTCCAAATCCTTGATCGTTGTTGTCTTCTAATCTCTGGTCCATTGATTTTCTCCCATATTGATAAGGTTCAATCCCTTTCAAGAGAAGTAATGATCAAAGACCGACTCCTTATGCAACAGACATTGAAGGTTACAACAATGCTAACACGTCGCATCGCAGATCAACTATATCAACACAAACAAAAGTCAAAGCCTTCTTCGATTACAAGAGGTCTTTGATTTCTCGTGAGGTGCCGAACGAGTCAAAAGGATAACATATCCCAAGATTGTGCCAGGTGCGTTGCTGAAGGCTGTAGGGGTCTCGGCCCCTCACCTTCGCACCACCTTCAACAAGAGCTGCGGCCGTCGAGTATCGTGCATCAGCACCATCAACAAGCTCTTCTGAGGTATTTATTCTTTCTCTCGTATGGTTGTTCGTGGTAGCTGACATAGTCTGCAGGATTAGTAACTAGTTCAAGAGCTGAGAACTTGGCCTATCTATTGACTGGAGCTCGCTGGACCAAGTCTTAACCATCAATTTCTGGGCCCACGCGGTGTTTAGATCAACGAGCCCTGTGGCGGAGTATAAGTCACAGCAAAGCATGCTAGAAACCAGGAAACTATCTGTCGGCTTATCCTCCCATTACTCAATCTACCTACCAACATGGTACCTTTTAACAGCTGGCTTTGAGGTATGGGCAATACTCTGAAGCGTCATACATTTTCGGAAGATATTGGTCATTAACACGGAACAATGCAGACATTTCTTGATTTGAATCAAGATCCGCCGCTGTTGGTCGTTGAAATCTGAGCCTGGCAACCTGTTTTTATCTGAACCATACAAAGAAGAAGAGAAAGCCGGGGAGAAAGGCCATGCCAAGAATTGAAGAAGTTCTATCGGATATCCAAAAGAATGAAGATTTCCAGTTGGTTATCTGTTCACATGCGATATCTGATAGTATATCTTCAATTCTTGGCAGAGCCTTTCTTCTCGACTTTCTCTTCTTCTGTGTATGGTTCAGATCAAATCAATTCTTGCGGTTAATTTGTACATTGGTGCTGCTAGGGATGCTAGTTGAGGTTCCTGTCAAGGTATCAAAGCCAAGAGTGAGTTTTCTAATCGAACATAGAAACCAAAACTAACTGAGCAGTAAAGTGTGCCCGAATCACCGATATATACAACAGGGTCATTGAAGGAAAGCTTCTGTCTACAGATCCACCCAACTCAGCGGAGACTGGCTTGCGTTCGTCGGAATACCCCACCACGTGTAAGTTTGGTCAAAACTATCAGACGAAATCAAACAATGAACTTATACTAACAATTTCTAGTATCTATCATCGAAGACTTGTCCAGAAGGAACATTTGAATGCCTCCTAGAAAGGTGGCAAAACCCAGAGCTAGGAAGGCTGAGGTTGTTGAGATTGATCCAGAAGTCTCTAACAATGACGATGAGGACCCTGGCAATGTAAAAAATTAGTCCAGAGGGTCATGGACTGCCTGAATATTGACAAGTGGCGGAACGTCGCAAGCCAGAACATCATCTGCTTTAAGTAGTACTCGCCTTCAAATTCGAGGGCACGCATGGGTGCTGAAAACTCCGACTCCGGCTCCTTCAATTAGGAGATTTTTGTAATAGAATAATGATAGTAATTAGCTACTGTGTAGGCACCTATTGATGTGTATCTGTGATTACTCTAGATCTTCAGATATTAGATTCAAAGAATGTTTGGTCTGTGTGCATTTCACAATTACTCTTCAAATCCCCACTGCCAGACATAAGAGCTCTAAAACTATGCGTGTATTCTCACGCCCCAATGAGCAAATTGTATATATTCCACTAAGAAAACGAACACTGAGATTTTCAGATATCAGCTTTGTGTGAGAAGCATCTTGAGAATCTAGTTTTTGCAGCATTGAGTCTTAATTGCTCCTTCCAAACCAGAAGCGTCAGGGGGTTAGAGAAAGATAACTCAAGAGCAACAAAATCCGATCAAGGACAAGGAAAGAATTGTTTCTCTGCCATATCAGCAGAAAGAACGATCCAAAACTTTGAATCTGCCAGTGTCTAGGACAAGATAGTTGTGTCTTTTCACAACAACCCATTTTGTCCTTCATTCTTTTGGGTGGTTGTGTGATTACGTAAGCACTGGTCGCACAAGCAACACTTCAAGATTCACTCCTAGCAATATAAATACGACCAGAAAATTTCAGAAATCGACATCAATGCTACCGACAAATAATTCATCCTTGAATAGAGCCCCTTATCAATATTGGATGGCTGGAGAAGATCCAGAGCAGCGCCATTATCATCAAACCCAACCACAAATGCACGTGCAAAACCCTCAACAACGAAATCTCCAGCAGCAGAAATTCGAGCAGAACCGACAACACGTGCAAGCGTATCAAAACCAACCACCACTACCGCCTCCTTATTTTCATAACTACCCCTACAATCAAAATCAAGTCCCTTATTACATGAGCAACGATAACAGAAGCCCTGCGCCACAACACCCAGGGTATCTCCAAAATCAGAGCCCATCAGAATATCGGCCATTTACTCCAGGGCCACCAAGTATGGAACATTCCGCTCGGACGAATTCTGAACAGCTAGCAGGAAATTTACCGTCACGAGCTATTGCTGGAAATTTGGCCCAGGTGGTGATCAGATCCCCAACCGCACCTCGGCGGGGACGTCCACCAAAGAATCTTTCCGATCCTTCACATCAAAAACCTCAAAAGTCGACTATACCAAAACGACGAGGCAGACCACCTAAAGATCACACGGCATTAATCGGCAGTAATGGCTCGGATTCATTCACGGCAAAAGACCAAAAGCTCAAATCCCTCAAAAATCAAAATCCCCAATCAGATGACAATCCACCAAAGAAACGAGGTCGCCCACCAAAGCAACCTTCCCCTGAAGTAGATCTTGAACCCCCGAATCCAAACTTCCTTGTTTATGACTGTGAGTGGGATAAGTGTCCTGCTGAATTACACAACTTGGCTACGTTGAAGATGCACCTCTTTAAAGTTCACGGTAAGAGGGAGAACGACAAGTTTCGATGCTTATGGAAGGGGTGCACTGCTGCTGCAGAAAATACTGAAAGTGGACATTCTTTGGCATCAGAACCGGCAATTAGGAAACCACGAGAGTTTGAAAACGAAGACAAGTGGAAAAGGCATGTTGAGAAAAAGCACATAATCCGCTATGCTTGGCACATGGGTGACGGACCTACGAATTCATTAGGTAAGATGCATTTCGTGATTTTAATGCAACACACGATGATTAGCTCTGAATCTGTATAAGATAATGAACGTCAATTCTAATAATTTTCCACTAGATGGCCTCCAGGAATCAGAATCTCCAACAGTCCCGTCATATCTGTTTGATAAAAATGGCAAGCAAGTCACTCCGTCAGTTGATGACCAACAGATTGAGGATGGAGATCCCAAGCAGAATAGCAAAAAGAGGTTCAAGCGAGTTATAAGTGGTCTTGATTTTGTCTTAAAGCCAATTTATACCTCAAATTTTACGTCGCCAACTAAACCTGGAGAAGACGAGGTTCATGATGAGAACAGCGAAGTTCATAATGAGAAAGAGGATGAAAAATTTTAAGAAGATGGAGATGAGACGGATAAGGAGGACATTAGACCAGATTTTTAGTCATTTTGTCGGGGAGGGGGGAACTGGAGATGAGCGCTCTCCGTTGGTTGTTAGTTCAGGGAAATGTATTTCTCGATTTTCAAGATGCCATAAACCATCTGGGACGGGTTATTCGGCTGTTTGATCAATTTGGATTATTCTGGCGTGTAGATACTTAATTCACAGCGAGCGACTCAGTCGCCTTGGCTATCGTGAGCGATTAGCAAAATTCTTTTAATTTTCACATCTATGTTGAGTCTTAACGACTGGTTTGATACAGTTGTTGTAGAAGAGGAGGACATTCCATTTTATTTACGGGTGTATATATGTTATATTTGCTACGAGAAGGGAAACGCTTAAGCTGAGTGCTTTTGTGGACCAAAGAAGAGCCATATTTATAAATGACCGCGAAATTCTGTTTATATTACACCAAATAGTTTGGCAATATCATTGAGCTGGTTCTAAGGAGAAATCCTAGCCTTTGATTCCAAGTGGTATCGATGGAGTGTCTGGGAATTAGATATTTGACGTATCCTTTTCTTTAAACGATGAATGGAAATGAGGCGAACAAAACGAATTTTTAAGTATTCGAGTATCAAAATTTGTGTTGGAAAATTGAAAATTGCTGAAAACTACTTATTGAAGGTGCTTTGAGTTTGAGATGTGATGTATTTTCGACACCTGAACTTAATTTAACCAAGTTCAATTCCCAAATCAAATTGAGATAACAAGAAATTTCACGACGTTAGGGTACCTACGTTCGACATGCGAGCTATTCGACCATCTCATGGCCCGTTTGCTGGCCATTTCAAATTTCGAATAACCTCTACACCCCCAATCGAGCTAACAATAGCTAGTATGTCACTCAATCAATACAGCTAAAGCTCACCCGCTATGATGATGATGCCATTTCACTTTGGTTACCTACCTGTCAATGTTTTCTTTGTTCTTCGTACTTAAAATTCTTTGAAAGGCCTTGAAAATGTGATCTGGAAGCAGAATATAGAGTGAGATTCTTTGTTTGCCTTTGTCGTTTCCTTTCATTTATGCCAGTTGCTTAGCGCATTCTCAATCTTAATCCATTTATATCAAGTGGAATAAATACCTTTTACCTACATGAAGATTCAATTTTTGAATTGCTTCAGCATTAATTCAGATTGCACCAATTGATATAGTATCATAAATCAGTTCCATGACACTAAAGCCTGCAAAATCGTCTGATCAAGCGACATACCCACAAAGAAGCGCAATATCTCAGGAATTCGCAAACATTTGAGCACACTCTTCACTTGCCAAGCAAAGCATTCAGCATGGCAGCTCAAGCATCAGCATCTGGTCTCGATCGCGATTTTATTGACTACTCGGCCCGGAAAGCCTCCTATATAGCCAATAAAGCTGCCTCACTGAGAAAATCAGCATCTGCCCCAACATCACCCTATAAGGAAGCCTCTGAGCGAATCAAGCGAAAGCCCTTTGATTTCCCAGTCTCTCGAAGTTCTTCCAATTCTTGGCTCGAAGATTTCTGGGCTTCGGAGACTGGGGCTTTGGTTCTGGAGTTTTGGATTAAGGTCAAACTATGGTATCAAACCGATGGTGGTCAACTCGGTTATGTATTAATTGCGTATTCGCTTCTTTTCGTTCTGGTAGCATCTTCCAACATAGAAAATTCGCAAAGAAATTTCAATCTCCTATCCAATACAATTGGTGTCGCTGGCCTATTCTCAGAAACGATTGACAATGGATATTTGTTCGAAAGTATCCCCGTTGAGTTTCGAGGTGCGGGCGCTGATTTAAGAGCATATCATGATTTATATGCGGAGTCAAGTCGCAATTCAAGACTTCATACGCGAGCGGTGAGCAACTTGTTGTCTGAATTAAATGGGATAGATTACCATTGGAAGTCATTTGAGAATAGTAGGGACAAAGCGGTAACGAGCGTCAAAGAAGAGCTGCAAGCTTCGCGTGCGATATTTCAGGCGGAATATGAGAGATTGGGGGGAGCAAATAGAGATTGGTTGGTTGGATTTGGGAAACAATGGGCGAAAAGAATTTTGTTGCGCGATCCCTGGGAATCAAGAGTGCATTTTATGGAAAGCAATTGGATGAATGTTACGATTGAAATGGAAAACTACATTGACGTCTGGCGAAACAAAAGAATACCGGAGCTGAGATATAAACTTACCTCCTGCCGGGGGGATAGGACCGGCGGACTGCCGGGATTAGTAAAAGAAGTCAAGGATAGTTGGCCGGCGAAGGATTCGGCGCCTAAGAGATTTAAAACCGCACCAGTATATGAGCTCGAGGAGGTAGCTAAAAAGGCGATCAGTCTCTTGGGGCAGGCGGATGGAATCTATAAGGTGTTCTGGCATGCGATTGAAACTTTGAAGAAGGGGGACACGAAGAAAAAGAGTGCATTTAGTAAAGGACGTCTAGAGTCATTGTTAGGGAAATTTGATGAATCAATCAAGCGATTGGAGGCGGCGGAATGGGCAATTAGGGAGAGGCTAGGTAGTAAGTATTATTAGGGGTAGGTTCGCTGTCAGACTGTCTGTTGGCTGGGTGGATGTGAGGTGGTTCTTTTGGTTGGCGATAGGAATTTCATTTTCGGGGAACGAAGGGATGTTATCGATCAGAAAAACGGCGTAGTGGATATGCGGATTAGTATATAATAATTGCAGTTGTGCTATTTCTTATTGATTGGGAGAGGAAGTTACAATTGAATTCCCTTACCCTATTCAGCGTTGTGCTGTGGACAGAATTATGCACAGAGAATAGTTCCAGCGGTGACTATGATGCAAAACCAAAATCATTGCTAGCTCAAAATTGATGGGTTT